GTGAAGTCTGTACGCAAGACAACTTATGGGCTTCACCGTCAGGTAAACTCTCGTAAAAACGTGTCAACGATGCCCCCGCCGTTTCGAGGAGTTGGTTAAGGGGTGTGATTGCCATGGAGGAGGACTCGGAGGAGGAGATTGTCAGGTCTGCAAGTGAGGTGCAGAGGTCTGAGTGTGTCATCCAGTCAAGGAACGTCACCATGCGTTCATTATCCACGCTGACGTTAAGGTGTCGAAGACGCATGTGAGATGGGGGCCGAAATAGTGAGGCTCCCGCGTAACTGGCAGCATGCTGAGCGAAAAAACCGGATTCCATCGTGAGGTCTGTACGCCGGGGGAAGGCAGACACAATCCGCCGCAGCTGCGTGATGTTGTTCAGTCGGCAGTTGAAAAGCGTCAACGACTTGACAGACTCGGACCTCGACAGGGCGAGGAAGAATTCGGTGCGGATGAAGCGAAGTCTTGCATTGGAGATGTGAAGGATGCGTACACGAGGCATCAGACCAGCGAGCGCGGACGGTAGTGCTTGTAAGAAGGATTTGTCACTATTGCTCTTGTTTCTACGCTGCGCGGATCCCATGCTCCCGTCCTCGTATTCACCCTTTTTCAGGACCTTAAGGTCGTCCTTGTGCATGTCCCTGATGTGATCCCACTGCTCGTCTACCGTCAGCTCGCATATGCTCGCGAGCCACTGCTTGACGCGTGGTGACGCGTGACACTGCTTGAACAGAAGGTTGAAGCTTCTGCGGCTGCGGATCTCGAGGGGGTGGTAGAGGTTGTACATCGCTCGAGGGTACCATGCTGCGCAGACCAGTACCGCGGCGATCAATGTGGGAGGATCCATCTCGTCGACGATGATCTCGAAGAGCTCGAACGGGATGCGAGCGGAGAGGGCCAGCGGCAGGGTACCTTGAGAACGGGCGTCCCGCCATCGTCTGGAGATCCAATTTTCGATGTCTTCGTCGAAAATCCAATCATCGGCACTGAATTCCTCATTGCTCTGTTCATCGGCACTTGGTCTCTGGTCATTCTGTTCATCGGCAAGGCTCTGACCGACACCAATATGATCGTCGCCGGCACTCGATGACACGACTTGTGCGTGTGAGGCGTCCTCGGGGGCAGGGGGAAGATGCTAGGTGAACGGCGCGTCAGTCGAATTGGGATCGTCATGGACAGAAGACGACCAACGCTAGGCTGGAGATCAGACATCTGGGCAATCGCACGTCCCTGCGAGCACGCGACGTGGACGTATGCGCTATGAGGGGAGGCCCAGTCGTATGCGGAGGAGTGGTGGGGGTGGGGGTGCAAGTGGCAAGGCGGCCTCGAGGACGTACCGAGGCCATGTATATTAGGAAGAGCTGTGTCGACCGAGAGTTTGATGAGCCGCACGGTGACTGCCGCGACCCCCAGAATTCTTGGAAACGCCACACTGGCCCAGATATGACTGTGGGACGTTCCACCGAGTCGCGGCCAGCCTGACCGTGCGATGCAGAAGCCTTAGGGCAGGAGCTGAGGGCCATGTGTTCAGCCCTAACCCTAACTGCGTTCTTCGAGACGCTCCCAGTCCTCAGCGGCCTCCCGTTCGATTTGGACAGCAGAGTGCCAACGGCGGGCTTGTCTCCCGCCTTCCTCGGTGTCGCCCACCCCTCACACTACCCGCGGGCCTGCCGCAACGAGGAGCTACAATCGAGCCCGTTGGCAACGTCGTCCTTACAGGGGTCGTACATCGGCATCACGCTGCAGCGTCAGGTCTCCGAGGTCCCGAGGTATGCGGTGCGCGACGTCGTCCGGGTGGGAACGGCTGTCGGGCTTGAGGTCGAGGGGGCTCTCCGATCGTCTCTCGCATTGGGACGAGGATGGTCGATCGCGCTGTGTGAAACGCTCACTAAGTCCGGTGAGTGTGGAAGAACTGCAATGACGAGTGCGTACCACGCGAACGGACTGCGAACATCCAAGAGCGCTGCCACGGTACTACCTGCGACGAAGTTCTACGTGCTGATGACGTACAATCCCACTCTCGTCGAACGCTCGCTGTATCGCACATAAGCTTGCCGCGTCGAGTAGGTGTTGTCGCTAGGTCATCGTGACGGGTCACGGGAGCCCTCTCCGGTCGCGCCGCTTACCTATGAAGAGTGCAATCAGCGCCCGGGACGTTGCCCGGAGGTACAGCACGAAGACAAGGCGATCACTACTTACCGACTATCCACACAACTCGCTGCTGGGAACGGGGACCTCATTCGCGTGACAAGCTTGTGGAGCACCGCCACCCGACTCGCGGCGTCCCGCTGCGTCTGCGGAAGTCAGTCTGTGTCCATCCCCCTGGATATCTTCCGTCCATGTAAGGCCTCCTTCTGCGTGCAACAACCGGACGCATTTCTTCGGCTCCGTGCTCAGCTCGATCTGTCTTGAACTGTGACCTCGGGCTGCACATCATCCTTCACGCCTCGACGACGGCCTGCTCATCGGAATCTCGTCACATTGACTGGAATGCAGTACGTACTACGCGCGCTGGTCCTCTGTAGGGTTGAACTCCACCCGAATCTCATTCGTCCGCACAGCGTCGTAAACATCGTCGTCCCTGCACGCCCAAATCCGAAGGTCCAGCCACACCAGCCCGCGCTGCAAGATCTACGTAAGCGGGAGTAGCCGTGAGGAGCCCCTGCATGCATGCACTGACCGAACCCTCGGATGATCGTCCTCGGCTTCCCGCCCGTCCAGAGATTAGGCGTCGCCGACCGAACCTCCCGGGAGCGTCGCGGGGCTTCAATGTAAGTCCTCGTTGGCGCTGGATGAATCAGAGTGCGGTCCAACACCCGATCTCGATGCGCGCGAGCTGGCGGTTCGCATAGCGGAGGGTATACTACGAACTGTTCCACACGCTCGGACGATCACTCATGGTGGTTCATGGCACAGAAGAATGCGATGCCGGAGTGCTACATTGAATGCAGCGTTGGGTAGTAGGTTGGCGTGATGATCTCCGACGCGTACTTACCGGTGACATCGTCCGAACTACCGGTGGTGCGATAGATGGATGGTTTCCACCAGATTCCAGGCTGTGTCGGCGGGTCAAGGAAGGCCTTGCTGCGTCGAGAGGTTCGTTGACCGACGCGACGCGCCGCGAGGATGTGCTGTTCAAGAGAACCGTCAGACATACCATTAAATCGTGCAGTGAAAGACATCTAGCGAGAACGAACCTCCTAATGGCGACCAAGAGTGTCGTCCTCATATGGCTGAAGTCGTACTTGCGTTAATCTACGATCGACGTTTGAAGGCCTGTTAGAAGGGCGCGTGATGATCGTCTGGCGAATCGCGAGATATCAGGGATGGCTGGACGAGCAGACAATCCGAGGAAGTTATGAAAAGTCATCCAGCGTACACTGGATCAAATTCAGCAGCGTGACTAACTGAATGACAATAAAATGGGAACGTACAGGAGGTGATCTCCGTACGGCTCAAACTTTGTGCGCCGTACACCACGCGGGGGATGGCGAGGGGCAGCGCGCGCAGATGCTCATGTTGACGGCGAGCCTATTGGTACGATGCGATCACCTGGAGCGTGGTCGAGCGTGGGCTTGTTGGGCAGAGATGCGCGGCGCCGCTCGGACACGATGCTGAGGCTCATGCGGCCGAGGTCCACGACGTGTTGAGAACTGCACATACACGGTATGAGAGCACCATAAACATCAACATGCCGTGGCAACCATACTGATCAACGCCGGGGCCGTCTGTTCATCCCGTCGACGATGAACTCAGAGGTCTGTAATAGATGTGCGGACGCGAACCTCGGTCCCCACTGTCGTGTAGGCGGCACTTGCTACCCGCGTGGTCATAGCGTAAGTGATGCAAGTCCCTATCATTAAGCCAACGGGAGCAGCGAGAGCAGCGGGGACCAGGATCGAAGCGGAGGTCTGCGGTCGCGGTGGTCGAAGAGCCTGAAGACTCAGGAGGAGCAACCTCGTTGAACCTGCAGCCGGCGACGCCACCATGGTCGGCCCGTGACGCCGAGCTTACAAGCGCCTGTCCGTACCTTCTCCTTTCCGGCCAGTCTACACTAGTGTCTTGAATAACCCCTCGCCGTTCTTTGGGTAGATACCACCACATTCTCAACGCGCGTCGCTCGATGCTCTCAGGAGTCCTCGTCCAACCAGACGCGCGATGTATACACAACTTGCTAGCTGCTAATACATGGGACTCGGCTCGCGCGCATCCTCCGCAACCGCTGTCCGAACGACGGTTGCTCATAGGTATTTTTCTTTGAGACCTGCTCCAGTGAGCACCTTTTGTTGTGCGCAGCCTACAATCATTGCTTGGGAGAAGGACACAAGTTCGACAATTCTGTCCGCGTTCTGTGACGAGAAGGCGCGGTACCACGGGCGAGTAATTCATCTTACAAGAAACAACGGAGAGACGAATCTTTGTCGGGTAAGTAACCTAAATCTCTTGGTGGACATGGCTCATCGACTGGTAGTGCATCAGACTCCTTTGCAGAGCGCCGCCGAACGAGTGTCCGTGGCACACATGTCACCGCAGTGGAGTCTTGAGCACGGTGAGCACTTTTCCCATCTCATACGATGCTCTAAGCTATGCAGTACTGATTCATCACTTTTCGGGGCACGCTTCTACTGTATTCCCGTATCAAGTCGGTAAACTAGGGTAAACTGCGCGACCGTTACTCGGCTCGAGGTATTGGGTGTTCCAGTTTCATAGTGTATGGTCTAGCCTGCACCTCCGTGGACATTTCTATGGCGTGAAAGGCACGGTAGGCTCGCTCAAGGCAAGGTGAGTATGTTTGTCGTGTCTTCCAACTCTGAATTCTCTGTACAGGCGGTGACGATGCCTCGCTGCCGCCACCTCCGTCTGTACCGATCGGATGACGGGCGACGGCTTCAGCGGGAGCACTCGTGGCTGTTGCTGAAAGACTGAATGGGAGACGACAATGAGAGATGTGGGCTCAGGCCAAGGCCGGGCTCTCCTTCCTCGCGCTCGCTGGTTTTGGGTCCGAGTACGACATCTCCCAAGCCCATGACGGTGGTCGATGCCGATTGGTCGTGTTGCGAAGCTCCGGACAGGTACAGTGGAGAACAAAGTATCATTAGAGATCGACCTGCAGGGGGCGGGGCTTGAGTTGCAGATGATAGACGCGGAGTCGGCTCCAGGACAGGTAAGCTATACGCGCAATTCGTTCTAGCAATGTGTCTGTTGATGCGCTACCGACAGTTCGAAGTTGTCACCGGCCCTCTGTCCCCGCTCGAGGCAGCCGACGCGGTTGTACATACCAGAGAGACCATCTACAACGTCGCCAGCAAGCATGGCCTCCGTGCTACGTTTGCACCACGGCTGCACGCCGACATCTGTACATGAGTCCTCTTCTCAACAGATCACCCCGGCGTGCGCCTGACTCGTCTCTCGCAGGTGGCAACGGTGCGCACCTACACTTCTCTGTTCATTCAAGCAGGCCTCCAACATCCGGCACGCGCTCGCGCCCAGGGTCCCTCTCTGTTGATCTAGACTAAACAAATCGACGTGCTCTAGAAGGTTTCGACGAGGCGGATAACGGTCGCCTCCTCGGTAGGCAGCGTCATATGTTCCTCTAACAACTGCACCATCGACGGTACTCGTGAGTACATTGCTTCCCTGCTGAGGAAGCGGACTCACCTTGCTCACTCCCAGATATATGCCCACGAACTCGGCGCCTAGGGCCTCTTTCAGATACTGATCCTCGTCCAGCATCCGCCGAGCGTCGCTGACTGTCCGGGGAAAGCGACGGGGATTCTCCAACCCCACCGCCTTTCTCTCTTCTTCACTCATCTGCGCCGCTGGCTTCGCGCAATTCCCGGTCTTCAGCTCCGCCCCGTTCAACACGCCCTCCAATCCAGCCGCCAAGATGCCCGCCGAGACAAGATACGGGTTCGACGTGCCGTCTATCGTCTTCACCTCGAAGTGGTTCGCCTGCCCGTCCCCGCAGAGCCTCACAGGAGCGTCTTTGTTGTGCCACCCCCAGCACGCGTACGTGCCGCCGGAGAAGATGCCATCCTCGACGCGCTTGTAGGAGGCGTTGGTTGGCAGGGTGATCGCGCTCAGCGAAGCGATGTGCTCGACGAGTGTCTGGAGGAAGGAGCGTTGGGTAGGCGTCAGCTCGGGTGCTAACACGGCGTCTGATCGAGTGTCCGGGCCTGTAAATGGGACGGTCGAGTGCAGCGACAAGTGCATATGCGCGCCACTGCCGACTACAGAAATGCCGGTGAGTATGACTGGTCCACTTTGTGGTTCAGTTTAAGGAGTACTCACCGTTATCAGACAGCAGGCGCGGAGCAAAGGTCGCACGAAGCCCGTGCTTATGCGCGATGTTGTAGATGGTCTCTCGAGTGAACACCAAAGCGTCGGCCGCGTCAAGAGGGGACATCGGACCCGTCACCAATTCATACTGGAGACAAGGATGGCTGGTGAGCCATCTACGCGCATCGAGAGAATCGGTATTGATACCTGTCCAGGGGCAGCCTCTCCGACCATGAAATGTACCTCGATGCCGGCCTCCTCGACGCAGTCGACGATCTCGTCGAGTACCGAGCTCTCGACTGCACCCGTGCGGTACCCTGCGGAACAGCCCCATCCAGCGTCATTCACCAGCTCGGGCGGCCACGATGCGTTCTTCAGCAAGACGAACTCGGACTCGAAGCCGACCAGGAACGTCAGGCCGGCCTTCTCCTTGGCCTCGTCGACGACCTTCTGCAGCATCGTCCTCGGACACAGCGGGATCGCGAGCGCACCGGTCGGTGAGGGCACCTTCTCCTGTAACCACGTCGAGACGACGGCATGTCCGGGTGCGTACGTGCATACGCGGAAGCTGTTCAGGTCTATCGCAAACAGGCACTCGCCCATGGAGTTGAAGCCGCTGGCGAACCGGATGCCGACGAAGGCGAGAGCGACAGGCGACAAAGTCATGCTCGGACGCGCGAGCTTGCATATGCGCTTGAAGTACGAGACGGGCAGCACCCAGAAGCGCACCGTGTTCGAGTAATCGACGAATTGCACGCGCACGTGCTTGATCCCGCGTTCCTGGAGCCGTAGGTCATCCACGGATGTGTACCTCGGTGGCGAGCCATGATCTGCAGCGTAGGCAACCGCGAAACTTGAAGCTGAAGCTGCGTCCATGACGGGGAAGGTTGGATGGATACAAGCTCTCATCGCCAGCTGGTGCTGATACCTATATGAAGATACTGTCTTCCCCATGACTGCCGCCCTCGCTCGTTTCAACCTTAGATTTCCCCGTTTGTACAGCCCGACATAGCGCTTTGCCCTGCAGCGGACGAAGAAACAACGATGCTGTCCGAGTCCTTGCCGATCAGGATGAGTCGTTTCATCGCGCTCCTTGACCGGTGTGCTCAATGTCTTCAAACACACGTTCTCTGATATGCGCTGATGAAGCGGGCAATGTACCTGAGCGCTACTACCAGTAGCGCACTGGTAGGTACTGTCAAGGATGCCTGGAAGTCCGTGCCCTTCACGATGCTGGTAAGTACTACTCATATGATCCAACCATTCGTAGGTCAGAGGACGTTGACACTGTTCGACCCTCGGACCAACTTGAACTTGGAACTGCCATTTCAGATGCAACTGTGCAGTCGTCCCCTGGTCGCCCCTCTGAGTGATCCGTGTAGCTGCAAGGAACCACACCAAACATCTGCGAGTGATGGTGCCGTGTTTCAATGGTCGAAAGGAAACGACGCCGGCTGATATCCTCACGATGATACTGATGCGCCCGACCTCTGTAGGTACAGAGCGCGTGCTGTGCGATGACCTCAAGTCTGGCACGCGATAATATTTGTCGCAGGCCATGGACGCCGACGAACGTTGATCCGCGGTTGGCCTTCACTCCTACCGTACTGTGCGTCTCCCGTCGGCATGCCTTTTGCGGCAGTCCGAGCAACAGCTGTTTCTCCTGCTCCCTCGTGCCATCCCGACTGGAGTCCATCGGGCTCATATGGCACCGCTATCTAACAGTCACATACGTACTCATTGCACTTGTTCTTGATTGACCTGATCTTGTGTTTCGAGTTTGAACATGTCCAATACAATCAGATTACGAGCCCTGATCGTTGATGTATAGTACATTCGGTCGTCGTCCGAAATCCGCGGAAGCATCGTAGCAAGCATGAGTGAATAGAGATGGTGACCATACCGGATCCGAGTAATCTTCATACCCTAGCCAACGGTCCTTCTACTGAGCCAGTCGATGGATAAAATGTCACCAAACGACAGCCTATGAACGACTGATGCCCCCGCCGCGCTCCATACAGGCAGTGACGATGCATCGCTGCCTCCTTCGCCTGTAGCGTTCGGATGACACGCTACGTGAGGGTGCTGCTGAATGGCTGAACGGGAGAGAAGAGTTAGAAAGTCGCGTCTGCATGAAAACGGACTCACGTTTACGATATCAACCGCGCGCCCAGGTGACATTGACTATGCCACGGGCAGACCATGGCTGCAATATGTCACGGAACATGGCCACGACTTTCCGACCGATGCTTTCCTCATCCGAATGGAGGAAATTGCGCGGAGGGACCAGGTGCAACCAAGTTTTCACTTCGACATGCTTCAACGTGTCGAAGTACGGTTGGCTCATGACCTCGTGCAGGTCCCGCAGGTCGAGCTCCTCGAGAACAACACTGGGCCCTCTTGATCGAAGTATTGGAATTGTACATCGACGGTAAACTCGATGTGCTCGAGCTGATGGCTTCGGATGGTGGAGAAGAGGTCGCGTAACTCGTCCGTCGCTCTGGCCCACGCCGTGCGATGCTTCAGCCACGGGTGTTCGGCTTCGTGTCCGATGCGATTCAGCCAAGACTTCCAGGATCGCAGGGCGGTGTTTCGCGACATATTGGTGGGAACTACTACATTGTGCATGCGCATTAGCGGCAAGTCTGTAAGCAAAACAAGGGACTCTTACCTGTATAATTGACTCGGAGGTATATTTCACAGAAACGGGTCAATGATCCTCCTACCGCTTCGAGGAGGTTGTTGATGGGGGCCCGTGCCGTGGAGGAAAAGTTGGTGGAAATAAACGTCAGCTCCGCGAGTGAGGTGCAGAGGCCTGAGTGCATCATCCAGTCAAGGAACGTCACCATGGATTCATCATGCACGTGGACGTTAAGGTATCGAAGACGTATGTGAGATGGTAGCCAAAATAGAGAGGCTCCCGCGTAACTGGCAGCATGCTGAGTGAAATGAACAGACATCGTGAGGTCTGTAAGCCGGGGGAACGCGGACACAATCCGCCGCAGCTGCGTGATGCTGTTCAGTCGGCACTCGAAAAGCGTCAACGACTTGACAGACTCGAACCTCGACAGAGCGAGGAAGAAATACGTGGGGATGAAACAAAGTCTTGCATGGCTGATGCGAAGGATGCGTAGACGAGGCATCAGACCAGTGAGCGCGAGTGGTAGTGCTTGAAGGAAGCGAAGGCCATTATCGTAGACATCGATGCTAGGAAAATGATCATCCTTCAAGTCCTGGCACTTAAGCTTTTGAGGCCTGTCCTTGTACAGACGTCGGAGTAAGCACCCACCTCATTTACCACCAGCTGGCATGTGCTCGCGAGCCATCCTTCGACGCGTGGTGACGCGCGAATCTGCTTGAACAGCATGTTGAAGCTTCTGCGGCTGCGGATCTCGAGGGGGTGGTAGAGGTTGTGCATCGCTCGAGGGTACCATGCTGCGCAGACCAGCGCCGCGGCGACCAATGTGGGACGATCCATCTCGTCGACGATGAACTCGAAGACCTCGAGAGGGATGCGAGCGGAGAGGGCCAGCGGCAGGGTGCCTTGAACACGGATGTCCCGCCAGCGTCTGAAGGTTCGTTTTCCGGTGACCCTCTCGACAATCCATTCATGGGCAGTGGATTCCTCATCGCTATTGCTTTTGCCGAAAGCACTCGATCCCGCGTCGTTCTGTTCATCGGCATTGCTCTGACCGACATGATCGTCGGCACTCGATCGCATGGCTTGTACGTGTGAGGCATGCTCGGAGGAAGGAGTAAGATGCTATGTAGGTAAACGGCGCATCAGTCGAGAATCGGGATCATCGTGGACAGAAGACGACCGACGGTAGGCTGGAGATCGGACATCTACCAGTGGGCACTCGCACCCTGTACGCGATGGCGTGAATGTATGGTATGAGATGAGGCGCAACCGTGAGCGGAGGAGTGGTGGGATGTGGGCGAAGGTAGAGAGGGGTCCTCGAGGATGCAGCGAGGCCAGGCATGTATATGAGTGCTTGGGAAGAGCTGTGTGCGAGTTTGATGAGCCGCACGGAGACTGCCGCGACCGGGACCTTTTATGCCATGGTCAGTCGTGCTTCCAGCAGTCGTCAACGTGCCGCACTGCCAGCCCCGGATATGTTATCACTGTGGGACATCCCAGCGCTGAGCCGCGGCCAGCCTGAGTGCGCCGCAAGCCCCTAACCCTAACTGGGTTCTCCCACCCAATGTTTGTGTCTTCGATTTCGACAATTGATTCGACCGCGCCACGTCAGCCGAGCTCATCTTCAACGAGACGGTGATCAGGCGAATACATCCCTGCGCCTCGCAGTCATCTTCACACCCTTGGAATACGAGCCGGCGGCATACGCACCGCGGAGAGTGTGCCCGAGGCCATTGACCATGCTTGTGGTGTCCATATCAAGCGATGAAAGGCGAGTAGTGCCCTCTGCGCTACTAGTATTCGCATTCCTTCAAGTATAATCGTACGCCGCGTGCATCAACTACATAGCCGGACTCATGCCCTGCACGAACACGGTCAGTCATGATCGGATGGGAAGCGGAGACACATGACTTGCCAGGAGAAGTATGGATCCGCTATTGCGGGCGATGGGACGCATATATATGATCCTATTTCCGCGCGGATCATAACAAGACATCGAGGGTTCCAACACTTGCCAAGCAAGTCTAGGGCGAATGCGAACCCAGAGCAGGTTCGTATCGCGCGTGCGGACCATGAAGATCCAGAAGAGTGGACACCCACGAGCAAACGTGCTAGTGACGCCCCTTCCACTCTGTAGAACGTTCGCTGGACCGCACGTAGGCCTACTGCCACGTCGGAGGGGAGGTTCAATCTAAGCGCTATCACCAGCCCGGTCAGACAGCCAGTCTTCCTGGACGTGGTACTCACCGACTAAGAGCCAAGGATCAGCGTCCCGGACACTGTCAAGAGAGTAGCCCGAATGTGAAGCGATTACCGCTTTCCAGCGATCCACACGACTCGCGTTCAGGCTTATGCATCTATTCCATACCGGCAGCGCCGTCGCCCATTCGTGTTTGCTCGAGTCGTACATGTGAAGCCTCTTCGCGTAGTTTAGCGTCCCGGCGGCGTCCGAATCCTCTCTGGCGCTGTCAGGGAAGCTCAGCTCAGCCTTTTTCTCCAATGGAGAGTTCCGGGTACGCACCGCGAATTGGTTTTCGACAATAGCCTGCTGATTATTGGGAATAACTCACGCTGACTAGACTTCCGCTGGGGCGATTCCCCGCTGAATCGGTCTATGCCCTGGTCACATTCTTGTGCACGACATCAATTCCCATCGCTGTACGCAGGCTCGTAATATCCGGCGACACACAAGTTGCTAAATCCACGGGATTGGTCCTCCGTGCGATCCGCTCCGCCCTGCATGCACTCGCCGGACGCCCGGACGATCGTCCTCCTCTTCTCGACGGTTCAGACATTGGTGATCGCCGAAGAGCCGCCCGGGAGCGTCATGGGGTTTACTCGTCGGCGTTGTCGTGGTCCAGAGCGCGATCAAGTACCTGATCTTGAAGCGCGCGAGCTGGCGCGCTTGCACTCGGGAGAGGGTTCTACGTAGCTCGTGAACACATCTGAACGGCCTCTATTCATGATTCAGGAGTTCAGAGTGCATGCAGCGTTAGATGACAGGTCGCCGGGATGATCTGAGATATGCGTACCTGTCTTTGCGCCCGAATTTTCACGCCATATGGTCGACCATCGCTTTTGACCGTATTCAGAGGCGGACGACAAGTTAACGTCGGCCTCGCTGCATCGAGAAGCCTATTGATCAATCAATACATCGCGAGGATCTGTCTGTTCAAGAAGCCGTCAGGGAAGGACACATACTAGCGAGCACGAACCTGTCCACGATGATCCGGAATCTGTGCATCATCCTCATACAGCGAAGTCATACGTTTCCCTGCACCTGTCATTGAAAAGATCACGCAACCGCGGGTTGATGGTCCTTTGGCACCACGCATTCGCTGGAAAACCAGAATTCTGAATTACCGCAGCTGCAAGACGTTACTGAGCGCGTACCGAATCGGGTCCGACGGCGTGACAGGCTTGAGCAGTTATAATTCTTGAACAGAGACGAGACGCACAGTAGGATAACTTAGGACCCATTCGGCTCCGAGATCCGCACGCTATTGACTGTGCGACAGAGTGAGACACGTCGCATGCGCCCGGCGGGAGCGCGATGAGGCCTTCGCGACGTCCGCTCAGGCGCATCCACAACCAGGATGCCAGGAGACCGAGCGGGTGAGCGGTGAAGAAGGGAACGCAGGTGACCTACCGAGAATTGGGGCTCAGCGTGGGATGTCTGCAGAGTGATCGTGGAGAGAGACGTACCAAGACAGGAAAAGGATTCGGCGGTCGGTCCAGGCTGCGTAACGCACTAGACAATGTCCCGCTTAAGAATGACGACCAAGAGGCCTGCGGACAGTGGCAGAGACGGGTGAAAGTCACGTCCGGTGAATCTGCAACATACCGACGAGGTTCATGGAGCATGATAATGGGGCCTACGATTTGGCCATGAACGGCCATACGGACGTGCGGATGAACAGACATCAATTTGATCGAATGGTCTAGATATGTAGTGCGTTAGTTCCATATCGCAGTCGAGGGGAGTACACGTACCTGAACCACGTTGGCCTATGGTACACGAGCAAAACAAGATAGACATACTTAGAGCAACAGCGTGCTGTTGAACAAAATGCCCTGTGCCACCATCACGACGAGGAAAGCTTGTCGAAGCTCGATCTGCGATGTAGGAATGTATGTCGAGGACGTGGTAGACGACTCGATGTTCTCGTGGGTCGTGATATCAACGTGTCTGGGTGCGACGCGAGACTTGGAGGATGTGCCTAGGGCATGTGAATCTGATTAGACGAGGAACAATCTCAGAACGGAAGACACATACAGTGGAGGATGTTTGTTCTTTCGTGGTGGTCGTAGTTCGAAACAACGCATTCACCCGATCTCCTTGTCCCGCACGGAGCGGGCGCTGTACCATATCAGAGCCTGGTGGTTGTCGCAAGCGGGAAGACTGGGCACGCGTCGAGGAATGAGATGCGCGCCCGCGGTTTTCTTCGTCGATTAACGTTCATCGGCGACACGTTGATGTGAGAATAGATGTTTGGTGAGATCCCTGCTAGTGTGGCGTTCGAGAACATGGGAAGTGACTAGCCAGACCATCGTTCTGCCTCCAGAGGACATAAGTGAGGGATGCGGGAAGCCGTGGCGAGTTACTTACAGGGAGGTCGGTCATGAAGCGCTAGGTGTTTATGCTCGTACAGGACCAGTAGAGTACATCGGTTGGCCTACGAAACGCTGTGTCAGCTACTGAGATCATGGTAGAACGGAATCGCATGTACCAGCGCAGGTGCTAGATTTTACTATTCAGGCGATTAATGTAGTGAACAGCAAAAACGCAGATGGTATTGTCTGGATTCACGATGAGAAGATTGTTATGTCAGTGACTGCGAGGCAGACGGGAGACGAGCGTTCGAAAAATGAACTTCGGATGCTATCCTTGACTTGCCGGAATGAAGCATCGTATGACGTTTCATTCCCGAGAGTACAACTGAACATATGTCGGAGAAATGACGACGGAAGGGCCTCGTCTTGCACCTTACCAAGCAGATGCGCCACGTTACCACTCGTTGTGGTGGCGGTATGCATCTGCGTGGCTAGGTGCGAGGAGCCGCATGGTTGGGGACTAACGCAGCTTCAAGCTCGTGGTGCGACCAGACACGTCGACACATGAGAACAGCTAACTCACCTCCATAAACTCCGCTACTGCTGTAGATCGTCCCAGGCTAAGTCGAGTATGTCGCGGTCGGACCACAGCTAGAGCAAGATACGGAACTGCCTACGAGCCACTGGGCGTCGCATTCTGTATACCTGTTTGTGCCACTCGTGCCGAGCCTTGATCTCCTCAGTGTGCTCAACAACGGTCGCTCACGAGCTTGCGCATGCTCAACGTCCCGAGCTTCTCAGGGGCGTCGAATCGGTGAGTTATCCCTGGCGCTGTCGCTGCCCTGGAGCCGGTCCCGCACCTAGTCTTGATGTGCATAGCCGGAAGCTTTCACTTGGGAGAAAACGTGCGAAGCCCGTCCACGAGTCCAGACACGTTGAAGGGTGATCGTCACGGCTCGGGGTGGGCGGAGGGAAGCGTGACGGAGTGCTGCAATGCTGAATGTGACGAACTGAAGTGGCGATCTACTAGAGGCACTCGTGTCAACGCAAGAGTGTCGGTCCGGAAGCTCGCACTACTTCCGCAAGCTACACGATCGACGCGATTGGTCCCTTGGGCGAAGAGCTCCGTCCCGAATGGCCCATCGGCGGACGTCCAGACGTTCGCCCTTCCCGCACGTCCAGCTATTAAAGTGCGCCGACATAGCTTCCCGTGGGCGTCGCGGGGCCTGACGTCCTCGTCCGCACTGTCATGGTCTTGAGCGCGACGCAATCGCTAATCTCGATGTGCGTTCGCTGGCGGCTAAGCTCGTGAACGCCTTTGGAAGGTCACTCTTGATGCAGATGGGTGCCTGAAAGGGCTTCGGAGCGATAACGTAGGACCCTTCGGCTCCGGGGTTCGCGCGATAGAGGGATAGACACGTCGTACGCGTCCAGCGGGAGCGTAACGAGGCCTTCTCGACGTCCACGCAGGCGCATCTACAACTAGGACGACACAATATCGAGTGGGTGTGGTATGGTGGAGATTACGCAGGCGAGCTAACAAATATTGTGGGTCAGCGTGGGGGAATATGAAGAATGAGCCCGGGAATCGGCGTACCCAGACAGGCGGGCTTCTGTTGTCGACTCCATACCGACGCGCACATCTGCGCTGCGGATATGCACTCGACAACATCCCACATAACGATGCCGAACACGAGGCCTGTGGACGACATCAGCAACAGTTGAGAGTGATATACGGTGTATGTGTAGCATACCAATGAGGTTCAAGCTGCCATCTTCTGCGGACGTGTTCTTGGTACACGTGGGGATCGTATCCGACTCGAACGCGATGAGTATACGAGTGGATGTGAGCCAGCGCATGACTCGCGGAGACGTGCGGGACTGCTTGAATAGCATGTCGAAGCTCGCGCGGTTGCGGATCCCGACGACGGAGTACAGGTTGTGGATGGCTCGGGGATACCACGCAGCACAGGGCACTCGGACGATCGTCCTCATCTTCCCGCACGTCCGATAATGGGGGGTCACCGACAGAGCGAGGAATGACGTGGGGCTTCAAGTCCTCGTTAGCGCTGCGGTGATCCTGAGTGCGGACCAACACCCGATCTTGATGCGTGCGAACTGGTGGCTTCGGACAGCGGAGAGGACACTACAAACTATTTCACACGCTCGAAAGATCGCTCTCGGTGGTTCGAGGTACAGAGGAGTGTGATCTCGGAGTGCTGCGATGCAACGTTAGACGTTAGGCTGACATGATGATCTACAATAGTTACTTACCTGTGTCGTCGTCCGCACTTCCGGTAGTCCAATATAGAGGGTTTCGACCAAATTCCACGCGGTATGTGATTGTCGGTGTAAGGAAGATCTCGCTGCGCCGAGAGAGTTGAGACGACGCGCCGAGAGGATGTGGCTGTTCCGTGAAATGTAAGATAGACCGTTAGACAGTTGAAGGAATGACGCATACGGGCGTGCACCGACCTCCCAATAATGACCAGGAGTGTCTGCGCACATTGTCCTCATCCATGTACAGTCGAGAAAACATGGATTCACGACTGATGTTCCAATGGTACAAGCCTACCAGAACGACGCACGTCATGATCGTCTGGCGAAGCGCAAGACATCAGGTCTGACTGGACGAGCAGACAAGCCGAGGCGGGTGTAACACCATTCAGAGCGCACTGGATCGGAATCAACAACGTGACAAACCGAAAAACAGCAGGGAACGCACATGAACGGGATCCGTAAGCCTCAAAAGTCGCGCGTCACACACCGCACGGCCGAAGGGGAGAAGCAGCGCCCGCAGATGCCTCTGTTGACGGTGAGGAGGCTGGCTCGAGCGGCGAGCGCGGTCAAACGAGGGTTTATTGTGCAGAGTCACGGTACGGCGCCGCTCGGACATGAGACCGAAGCTGGTGCAGTTGAGAGCCGCGACATGTTGAAGGCTGGACAGATATTGCGTGAGGACACCAAGTAAGTCAATGCCATGGCACCTGTACTGACCAACGTAGGAGCCGCCTGTTTATCGCGTCGACGATGGACTCGGAGGTCTTCAGCAGTATGTCAGATGAGACCGCTGGCGACGTACTTCATGGGAAGATACAGCTCTCATTTGCGTATTCCTGTCGCGCTACAGCGTTGACGCTGACCATTGCAGAACGGGATACTATTGATAATGACGAACGCGTAAATCGTCCAGGCGCGACGGACTGCAACAGATGTGCGGACGCGAACCTGGGTCCCCGACGTTATGTAGGCGGCACTTGCTACCCGCACGGACATAGCGCAAGTTCTGCGAGTCACAAAGTAAGCCGATGGGGGCAGCGAGAGCAGCGGAGAGCAGGATCGAAGGGAAGGTCGTCGGTCGCGCTGGTCGACAAGGAGGAGGCGACGCCACCGTGGTCGGCCCGTGGGCCGCTCCTCCGAGATGCCTACGAGCGCCTGTCCGTACCTCTGACTGCAGAAGCGCTTTCTGCACTGTCTTGGACACCCTCTCACCGTTCTTTGAATACCGCCAAAATCTCAGCACGCATCGCGCAACGCCCTCGGGTGCTGTGTCGTCCAGCCAGACGCGCAATGCATACACAATTGCTAAATGGATGCACGTCCGCGCGGGACTCGACTCGCGCGCATCCTCCGCAACCGTTGCACCCTCCGCCGACTGACAGTTACTCATGCGCCTCTTCGGGTCCTGCTCCAGTGAGCACGCGTCCGTTGCGCGCATCCCGCAAGTATGACGCTCGACAGTTCCATCCGCGTCCTGTAACGGGGTGCGGTGCCATGGGTGAGTCGCTCAGATCGTAAAAGCTTGAACGAGACGAAAACACGGAAGGACGAGTGTCTGTCAGGTATGTAACCTCTAGTTCTCGGGGGACATGGCTCATCGTCCAGTAGTGCATCAGACTCCTTTTCAGAGCTTAGTTCGTCGCCGAACATGGCACCGCGGTGGATGCTTGAGCTGGGTGAGCGCTGTTCCGCATCTCATAAGGTGCTCTGAGCTCTGAAGTACTTATCTACTGTTGTACAGAGCACGCCTCTTGTGTCTTCCCCCGTCGAAAGCCAATAAACTGTGCGTGACACTCGGCTCGAGGTAATGCTCCAACTGTTGACTGTTCGTACTCAAGTGTTCCAACATCATAGCGTACGGCCTAGCCCGGACCCCTGTGGACTATTCTGGGGCGCGAATGGCGTTGCGGCCTCGCCTAAGGCAAGGTGAGTATATTTGTCATGTTTTTCAACTCAAGCGAGTCGACCTTACATTCACTAACGCCGACGCAGAGCCCGCCAGCCCACACATGCAAAAACGAGACTCAGTGCGCGGGTAACCTACTGATTTACATTGCGCCCGTCGATGTTGAGAATTCTAGTGGCATTTGCGACCAACGTGCTGTCACTCAATTTGCGCACTCGAAGGGAGGCTTGGCGTCTGCCTACCTGTGATGCTTAGTTGCCTCGCGACTCCGTGAGCTAGCGTATCCGACGACTGATCTACACATCATTGCTGCGGAACTCTTCCTGTTCGCCAGGTGAGTATGGCTCGCTTGCTTGGTATCTCACTGACCCGCCGTCATGCAAGCAGGCCATCTTGATCCTCGTAGACATTCCTGCAGTATCAAGGCTCCCATATCAACCCGGTCATGCATCGGCATGAACATGATCCACCGTATCTAAAGACAGTGTACCACTGACCACGTTCTCTCAACAGCAACACAGCGAACCTGTATGCCTCTTCCTACGGGCGTTCTGATCAAACACTGGTGAGCTCTAGACGACGTCGTATACTCTCAAGATGCCTACTGGGTCCAGCCAGCGAACATCGACAGACTAGCGTGTCCTCCATCTCGACATTGCAGGGATACTCGCACGCCGACGAAGAGCCTATGTTTCGCAGCCCGCAAAATTACAGTGCGTGGCGTCCCGCCTTCGGGATCCAGGACCCTATCCACGCGCTCAAGCTTGTTGGGCCTCTCAATCCGTCGACGGTAAGATGATCGACTTGACATGCGACATGTACACTGACTGTCTCGCTTCCTCTCCCTAGGGTCTTGCGAAGTACAAGACGTTTCCCTGAGATCCGCGACCCTGTGAGCGTCCTCTTCAAGGCGGACCAACCCTACGTCGTTCCCCCTCGTCTCGGAACCTCTGGCTCTATATTACCTTCGACAAATGGTTACTCATCAAGCCTCTCGCCGCTCTCACGGACGCGCCTCTCGTATTGACCTAGCACGGCCCTCGTAATGACAATTCGCGCGAGGATGTCGAAAATCTGCGTCCATGCTAGCTTGGACTCAGCCACGTCGCTCCCGCCAGGTCTCCCGAACCCCCTCTGGCCATCCACGTACTGTCATGAATATAGCGGATTTTTGGATCATTTCTTCATGCCTACTGTCGGCGACCTGCGCGTACGTTTTGAACATGGTCATAACGATACGAAACAAGATACAATTCGTCTGGTCGTAGCGATAGAGAAGTCCGATACAGACGCATATAGATACCCGCCCAAGTAGTCGATGTGTAGTACATTGCGTCATCGTCCAATCACACCACATTTCAGTCGTTGTAGCAAGCATAAGTCAGTCCAGACAGTGCCCATACCGAATCCGAGTGAATCCCATACCGAAGCCAAGAAAATCGTCCTTCCACTGAATCGGGGGATAGATAAGAGGGAGCCAGACGACCGCTTGCGAACGTTTGAACGGCCGATCCCCTCGCATCGACCCGCGCTCCGTACGGGCGGTGACGATGCCTCGCTGCCACCACCTCCGTCTGTACCGTTCGGATGACGGGCGACGGCTTCAGCGCGAGGACTCCTGAGTGATGCCGAATGGCTGAACGGGAGGCAAGAGTAAGACGGACGTGTGTGTGCAAGCGGGGTCACTCACATTTGCGGTATTGATACGCGAATTCAGAACCGGGTGACGGTGACTATGCCACGAGCAGACCATGGCTGCAATATGCCATGTAACATGGCCGCGAGCTTCTGAGCGATTCTGTCCACATCCGACTTGGTCTGACCAGTTGGCAGAGGCATCAGCGTCACCGTCGCCTCGACATCCTTCAATGTGTCGAAGTATGGCTGGCTCATGACCTCGTGCAGGTCCCGCAGGTCGAGCTTCTCGAGGACAGCGCTTGGCTCCTCAGACTCGAGAATGCTGTGGTCGACGTAAACCGTAACGTCAACCCCGATGTGCTCGAGCTGACGGCTTCGGACGGTGGAGAAGATGCCGTGTAACTCGTCCGCTGCGCTGGTCCACGCCGCGCGCTGAGGCCCCTCGTGTTCGGGCATGTGGCCGATGCTACGCAGCGAGAAGTGCAAGGATTGCAAGGCGGTGTTTTGCAAGAGATTTGTGTGACTCAGACCCTACATTGTGCATGTGCATCAGTAGTGAAGTCTGTACGCAAGACAACTTATGGGCTTCACCGTCAGGTAAACTCTCGTAAAAACGGGTCAACGATGCCCCCGCCGTTTCGAGGAGTTGGTTAAGGGGTGTAATTGCCATGGAGGACTCGGAGGAGGAGGTGATTGTCAGGTCTGCAAGTGAGGTGCAGAGGTCTGAGTGTGTCATCCAGTCAAGGAACATCACCATGCGTTCATTATCCACGCTGACGTTAAGGTGTCGAAGACGCATGTGAGATGGGGGCCGAAATAGTGAGGCTCCCGCGTAACTGGCAGCATGCTGAGCGAAAAAACCGGATTCCATCGTGAGGTCTGTAAGCCGGGGGAAGGCAGACACAATCCGCCGCAGCTGCGTGATGTTGTTCAGTCGGCAGTTGAAAAGCGTCAACGACTTGACAGACTCGGACCTCGACAGGGCGAGGAAGAAATCGGTGCGGATGAAGCGAAGTCTTGCATTGGAGATGTGAAGGATGCGTACACGAGGCATCAGACCAGCGAGCGCGGACGGTAGTGCTTGTAAGAAGGATTTGTCACTATTGCTCTTGTTTCTACGCTGCGGGGATCCCATGCTCCCGTCCTCGTATTCACCCTTTTTCAGGGCCTT